CTCTCTCTCTCTCTCTCTCTCTCTCTCTCTCTCTCTCTCTCTCTCTCCCTGCTGCCTGCAGAGGTGGATATAGAACTCTCACCTACTTCCCTAGTACCAGTTTACTTTTCCAAGATGACAATGGATTAAATCTCTGAACTAAGCCAGCCTCAATTAAGGGTTTTCCTTTATAAGAGTTGCCTTGGTCATGGTGTCTCTTCATAGCAATAGGACACTGACTAAGACAAGTGGTGTCTGAGAGAGAAACTTTAAGCACAATGACCATAGACAAAGTCACCTTTAGAGAATGAGTCAGGCTGGAGGGATGCAAAGAACAAATTTATTTTTGTTCTGATACCAAACAGGGGCCGGGGGATGGACAGGGGGAGGAGGAAGGAAGTGAGGGTCAGAGTAAAAGATTTGAACATCTATTTTGTGTGTATGTATGTGTTCATATGTGTGCGCACGTCCCTGTGTATGCACATGGAGGATGGAGTCCAACTTTGGGTGTTGTTCCTCTGTAGCCTCCCACCTTATTTGTGGGGGCTGGGTCTCTAACACAGACCTGGAGCTCACAGATGAGGCTAGGCTGTCTGCCAGGCTAGATCCAGGGATCCCCCTGTCTCTGTCCCGTGCCCCAGCACTGGGGTTACAGGTGTGTGCTACTGTGCTAAGATTTTCACATGGGTTCTGGTGGTGGAACGCAGGTCCTCGTGTTTTCCCAGCAAGAACTTGACTGAGTTTTCTCTTCAGCCCTGAAGGTCTATTTACTGATCAAAATAATAGCCAATCAATTAGTTGACCAGAAAATGATAGCAGGGGTTGGGGCAATCATAGCCATATACAAAACGTAGAGAATCTCTGGGCAGATTCCTTAGGCCATTTCACTGAGACTTCAGAAATATTCACAGATTTCAGTGGGAGACCAATACCTGAAACACACTTGGGCCTTGATTCACTCAATGTTTTTTGTCTGAATTCAGTCTTCATGGAACAAGCACACTTCCCATACACTTCCCAAAACATGAGGAGGCACTGCACATAAAGACATAGACGCACCTATCCAACCATATGTGATCCCATGCTTAGTGCCCTGGCCTGCCCTAAGCAATAGGGATAGTATAGAACAATCCCTATTAAACATCTGATACAAAAAGCAGACAAATGGCATAATTGCATAAGATTAAAAAAATAAATAAAATGGGATACTGGCTAGATAATATCTAGAAGGAGGTAGGTGTTTTAAAAATAGGCATCAGAAATTGCTGATCTAAGAATTTAATATATGATCATTGGTGAAGTCTACTGTGAACATTTTCCAAACATTTTATAATGAAGTTTTTTAAAAAGTCTACATTAATATAATGGCAGAGCTGACCACGTTGAAATGACTCAAAGCAAACACTGTAAAGGCATTGCGAGGTTAGTAGACAATGAGATGTTCGTATGTGTATTCCCTTCACCAAGCACAGAATAGGCCTCGCCTCCTTGTTCCCAACCTCTGCCCCACCCTCTCCCAGTGAGTGGACGTCAGAGCTTGGCTGTGCCTCTGGCTATCAGCTTGCTGAGGATCCAGAGTCAGCATTCAACGAGGGGAAAAGAATCTTTAGGGAAAAGGAACAAGGAAAGCTATGAAGTAAGAACTAGCTTGATATTTCTCCGAGGCTCTTGGTGTATCTGAAGCTTAAAGATGAGGGTAAAGTGGGAAGCATCACGCCAGAGACTTAAGTAGTAATGAGTCAAAGGAAGAGATCTGAATCAAGAGAACAGCATATCCTGACGGGCATCTTTTTAGAAAGTAGCTGCAAGGGTGGTGAAGATAAGAGGAGGCAAGGTTTGTTAGGCTGTCAGTACCTAGGCCAGCAAGGGCATGTCATGGTGTACTGGCCACAGAAGTGGTAGCAGTGCCTGAACTGAGGGCTCATCTGGGGAATGGGTTCCCTGTTGATAGAGAGAAGCGTATGGGTAGAAAGTCTTACTTTTGCTTGGCAAAAAAAAAAAAGTCCCTTAGCATTTAAGAGAGGATTAAGACAATTAAGGGAGGATTAAGAGTGATTGAGCAGACATCTCCAACTTGAGATGCCTACTAAGACACAAGCAGAGAATCTGGGTAAGAAGAGGGACTTTGTAACATTGGGAGTGCACTGGAACAGATGCACAAGTGCTGTGGAAATTACACTAGGAAGAAGAAGGATGGAGTCAGAGGAGTTGCCAGTGAGACAGGGAGAGGAAACAGGAGGAAAACAGGAGGGAGTATTGTGACTGAGTCCCAGGTGTGATTTATTTAGAGGAATAGCCCCTGGCCATCTTGGGGACAGAGTAAACTAGAAGTTGGGACCCTCCTTTGCCTTGCTCCCTCCGTCGCTGAGCCAGCTTGTGGCTTCTGTACGTTAATGCGGGATTGAGTTTGTAAGGAAAGTCAACTGCTACCTCTTAAATCCTTCGCATTTACATGGGAAGTTGGTAAATGCTAGCAGCGAATGGGAGAAGACGGACATATCTTAGAGACAGCTAAAAGCACTATTGATGTTTCAGTGATCTTAAAACGCTAATTTGTCATCATCTTCCTCAGAACCCCAGCTAATGTGAAGTTTATATAATGCCTATATGCGGGGTAGAAGTCACAGAATATTTTTTGGAGCCCTGGTTTAATTGTACTCTCTCTAGCACCTCCAATTCTCTGTGCTGTGACACTTTCCCAAGGTCTCCAGAAGCCACAGACATTTCCTAAATGTCTGACATTAGATGGGTTACTATAAAAAGCTCCTTTCTCCTACATGAGGCGGTCTTTGGATGGAAGATCACTCAACAAGGAGAACATTGTCCTTCCCACTGGGATAGAAACCACTGGGGGCTTCAAAGACAGCATTGGCTTCGGCCAAAGGAACTGATCACATGACCTGCTCACCATCCCAGCTTGAGGCGCTACCATGAGAGCCTTTATTACATCTTTTTATAAGATCCTTTCATTTCCCACAACTGTGAAGTTGAACAAAAACGCCCCATCCCTCCCCTTGTGTCTCTGTTCTATCCTCGCAGGCCAGTTTTGCTATAGATAACCGGCATATGTAGTAAAACTAGAAGAGAAATAATCTGAGTTTACCATCAAGAATCACGGTTTCAAATCTGTTACTCTATTTTCCCCTTGGACTCTCCCTCATTGGCAGTCACAGAACTAAGACTTAAGACACCTGGGGTATTTTTCAGTTTCTTTCCAGAGAACCTGCCTTACCTTGAGCTGGACTAGATGCACGTCCACATGCTTGCTGTCTGCATCCTGCTGGACCGAGTAGGTTAGGTCACGGACCCTCTCTGAGGTCATCCGGAGCCAGGTCTCGATCTCAGGCAAGTGCAGGACGATCTTCCAGTCGGCTACTGTGTGCAGTGGGGGTGGCTTCCCGTACTGTGGCTCAGCATCTATGTCCTTCATGGCCTCTTCTCCCTCTCCTTCTTCCTGCTCCACAGTAGGGGTCATGTTGATGGCCATGGGCGAGGCATCAGTGGCCATGGGATCCGGGTCCTGTGACCTCAGTGGGGAAAGCGTCACGCTCATGGTTAACATGGAGAAATCTAAGCCTTACTTCTTTCCAAAACAGCTGAAAGGCAAAAGGAAATAAGAAAGCAAAGTCAGACTAGATTGCCAAATAAAGCAACGATACTTTACAGAAGAAACGGGGTTTCTAAATAAAGCTAGATTGCTAAATTAAGAAACCATTGCTCATAACAAAAACAGAAAGAGATGTTTGATTTTCTACATTATAGCCCCAAGACCCAGCATGTAACACAAAACCACAGTGGTAGCATCTCCCCAAATACCCATTTCCCCTCATTCCTTAGTAACAAAATGCTGAGATTCAGCTGTGAATAGTGCTGCCCAGGATTTAAGAATCACAGTCCCCATTTGTAGCTAACTATGGCTCTCCCTGTAGCCAAGTTCTGGCCAAGGAGCAGCAAGTGGACTAGGTATGTAGAAATTCTGAGAGCTGTTTCGAGGGACTGCCTGGATTAGAAGATGCCACCTCCTGCCCTTCCTGCCCTGCTTCCCCCTGTTGTTCTAGTGAATGCGGTGGCCTCCGTGGCTGGATTTCTAACTCCAAGTCAGGCCAGGAGATGCTCTGGGGTGCTCCTCAGAGAGGACATGAAGCACAGGGTCCAGTGGGTACCAAAGGGCTACTCTACCAGCATTGTTGACATGTGAGAGAAAAATATTTCAGTTTTGTTTAAACAATGATTAAGATGGGCTTTCCTAATGTATACATCCAAACATCATTTTGACTAAAGCCAACATATTCAATACAGGAATAATATAGAGCAGGATATTCTAATTCCAAAACATACTGCGCTGGTCTCAGTGTTCATTTTGAAGATTAGGTAGGTAGGTAGGTAGGTAGGTAGGTAGGTAGATACGTACATAGTACGTACATAGATACATAGATGATAAATACATAGATGTAGCAATTTCAAAATGTTAGTTTCTCGAAAAATAGATTATACCCAAATAGGTCTAAGTCTACTTAATGGTGATTAATTAATGTTAAACCCATGCTTCATTAACATGTGGTTATGTTGAAATTTTCAAAGACTTTTGGAACTTTAGGCATAAACTGTTCTGACATCTCCTAGTAAAAGGTTACCAGAGAGGCAAGAATAACAGCTAAGCATCCTGTTGAACTAAGCTTGCTTTGGAGGATGAAGGTTAGTTACTACCAATGATCCCGCTATAAATTTACCTGCCTTCTGGCAGTGGTCCAGCATCCTATGGTTTACAATAAGTGGATGTTATTTCAGTTTCAGGAGTGTCTACTCAAGGCTAAAGGAGTTTTTGGATTTTACAAGGTTGACAGCTTGAGGCTTGTTTGTTTGTTTGTTTTTAAAACACATTCAAGTTATACTTCCATTGCTGTAAGGCAGCTGATCAGAAGTTCAGAAACTTAATATGATTCACATGGGAAAGTAGCTCACATTTTTTCAGATTCTTAATATTCGCGCGGTGACTGGCCTTGCTTCCTATTGCTACAATAAGGGCTATGAGCAAAGCACCTTAGAGAGGGAAGGGCAGGAAAGATCTACTTTACCGCCTAGGTCATAGTCTGTTGTGAAAGGAAGTCAGGACAGGAGCTCAACACTGATGCAGGGGCCATGGAGGCATGCTGCTTATTGGCTCGCTCCCCATGTCTTGCTCAACCTGCTTTCTTATACAGCGTAGGACCAGCAGCCCAGGGGCAACACTGTCCAAAGGCTATGAGCCTTCCCACGTTAATCAAGAAAAAGACTTGCCCACAGGTCAACCTGATGGGATCATTTTTTCAATTGAAATTCTGTGTTCCCAGATGATTCTAGCTTGTTTCAAGTTGACAAAAAAACAAACAAACAAACAAACATTAACCAAAGCAAAGTTATTCCTACCAACAAATATAGATAGTAAATAAATCAAGACAGCTCCCAGTTTGACCAGCAACATCTGTCCACCTTCTAACTTGAAAGAGCATGGAGAGTCACTAGACCTGCTGAATTGACATAGTGCTTAAGAGTAAGCAAATCCTGTGTTCTTTAAGTACACTTCCTTGCCTCCAGCACCCAGCTGCTGGGATGACTGACAGGTACCATGTCTGGCTCTCCTTTCCTAACTTCTCCAGGATCTAAATTTTGAGTTAAGCTTATCAGTGACTTTTCTGAAGCAAAGTTATTTGCAAAAAGCAAACTCAAGTCATAAAGTTGGTTGGCCCCTGTGGTGCTTGCCTCCTTAGATAGATGGTTTTTGGGTTAACTCGGCAGCTTTCTCTGCCTGGGCACAGGAGGGAAAAATATACTCCTCATACTTTTAAACATTCTTGTGTTCAATTTTTAAAATAATAGTGATACCAGAATTGGATAATTTATAAAAAAAAAAGCCCTCAAAGATAACAACATTTTACTGAAGGGATCCAACCCCAGGAAGACTGAGCTACCCCCAGCACGTCACAAGCCACACCCCAGCCTCGTGCAGGCTGGCATTCTGACTTTCTGAAACATCTAAAATATTAATCAGTTCTCTGCTTTCTAAAGGGCCAGTATCAAATCTCAATCTCAGAAAAGGAACCTGATAACAAAGGTTAATCAAACTTGCTTATTCAAGGGCACAGAACTGCTTAGAAATTGAGAACACCCCGATGTTACAGCAATTGTCTAAGAAACTAGATTGAACCAAAGGACGACTAAGAGTCAGATGGTGAGCATGGAACTGCCTCAGATATACATATAGTCACCCATTGGCCCAAGGGTTGTGTGTAACTAATGGGCAGCATATAATGACTGCCAGGTTTTTGTTTTGGTTTTTTGAGACAGGGTTTCTCTATGTAGCCCTGACTGTCCTGAACTCACTCTCTATAGATCCTGCTGACCTCAAACTCAAAGAATCAACCTGCCTCTCTATCTACCCATTTTGAGAGATTCCTAAACCATGTGATACACACCATACTTTACACTAGAGAGTGAATTAAGGAATCAGTTCATCCACATGTTAAAGAATTCTTGACATGTCAGCCACAGATGCTGTCATGTGGAGTCACGTCATCCACACATCCACATATGCTGTCATGTGGAGTCATGTTATCCACACATCCACATATGCGCTCATGTGGAGTCACATCATCCACATGTCCACATATGCTGTCATGTGGAGTCACATCATCCACACGTTCACATGTGCTGTCAGGCTACATACAGGCACGTGTAGTACATTTACTCAATATCTCTCGGCCTTGGTTTCCTCATCTGCAGAGTAAAGGAACTGAACTAGACACACAATAAGATCTCATCTGGGCAGGAGAATGAGACACCCACAGTAAGAGGTCTGAGCTCATTGCTGTTCCAATCCTGTCTATACTGAGAGCTATGTACCAACTGCACGGTGCTCGCCATTATACCAAAGCACGCAAACAGAACCAACCGACATGTCCTAGTTAGCAGGAAAAGAAATTAGTACCAAGAAAAATAGATTATAAAGCATAGTGGTGTTGCTATTCTTCCCAGCAGAACAAGCATGACAAGGACTCCCCTCTCAGAATCTTCTACTTGAGAGTAACAGCACAGATGTGGACAAACGAGACAGGAAAACTCGACAGAAAGGTGTCTGGGAGACACAACACACATTTTACAGGATGAGAGGGCAGGAGACCTGAAAGTCAAACTTCAAAGCAAGATTTTCCTGCGACAAATGTTCAACCAGTCAGACTGCAAGCAAGGACATTCTTGTGTCACCAGCAGACGTAGACAAAGCACTGTTTGCTGAGTTCACACTTGGGTTGGCATCGTTTGCTTTCCTTTACATATACTTTTGACACTGAGAAAGAATACTTGCGTTGTATGCTTAGCAAGCTTGAGAAGTGGTGTAAATGAATTAATTGCACGTTTTCCTGGGAGACAACTGCTGGACCCATTTGATTTCTGAGTCAAACAGTTCACATCACAGTATAGCACCGTGGAGATGGCTGCACTCTGTGGTTTTCACAAAAATCCCGTGGGATTTAAAGGGTAAACATGCAGCATAATTCAAGGAATCAGCTTCAACCGTATGGAGACTATGGTAATGATTTCGTGCAGAATTTCCTGCCCTCGTTGTTACTCATTCCTGCTTTTGAAACAAATGAATTACTCCACTTAAATGAAATAGTAGGAGAGTCGGCACAGGCTCTACTTCTATATGCTACAAGTTCTACGCTGTTCCCTTATGAGTCATTTCATTAAGGAAAAGATGCCTGCTAGTCATAAAGATATCAGCAAAGAAAGAGCCACTAGACAGTGGCTCATGACAGTGCAAGAGAAAGCATTAGGCCAAGTGCATACAGGTACCCACCGGAGTCGCAACTGAGGCCAAGAGGACAGAGGACTCATGAGTCAGCGTTTGAAATCCAAGGGCTCCCCCTCTCTCCCATTATCAAATGCTTGTCTGTGGTCACCTTCCCAGCATTAGAGATAATACCCTCCTTATCCCTGCGCCTGTTAAAAATAGCACCCACCCAACCCTCCCTTTCCACACACCTAAAGAACAGGCAATGCAAAGAACAAAGGCTGACGGCCTTAAATCTTTCCTTATTAGATTGTGAGAGAGGTTTTCCTGCCTTACTCTACTCACTATACTGTGAGAACAGAAGAAAATATACCACAGACAGCTAAGGACGCGGGCTCTCTCTAGCCGTCCAGAAGTTTCGCGTTGGAACCTGAGGTTACCAGAACGCATTTGACTTGAAGGAACAGATGTGTTTAAAGAGGACTGCCTTCTTAGGACAAATCAAAAGGCAAAGAGACCCCAGCTGCAAAGCCCTCAACACTGCCCATCTCTCTCCTGTAATTTCCTGTCTTAAAGGAGCAGAATCTAGAACTGTACTCACTGCAGATGCTTTCGTTCCTAATGACTCCTCCTCCTCGCTCCACCCGCTTGTGGCCAGACAAGAAAAAGGCCAGTGTCAGCTGCTCCAAGCCAGCCTGCTCCAAGCCAGTTACGCAGCGCTCTGGTACCAATAGTCTAACTCTCAAGTGAGGGCTGCGCACTGGCCCTATTTGGAAGCTAATGTATACATTACAGACTGCAGTCATGGGCAGGCCTTTTACAAACATG